TATACTCACACAGAAAACGGCACAGACCGGCGGCGAAGGAAAGCCCAGAATTGAATCCCCTGCATCCAGGGCTGACGCAGCAGCGTGGGAACAATTGGAAAAGGCAGCAAGAGAGGGTCAGAGGACGCACACGAACACCAGCTTGCGCGTTTTTTCACTGTCAGAAAATCCTTCCAACTCCTCTCCTGAAAGTCAGCTGACTACGACGCGGCTTTGATTTTCTACTGTCGTCGTGCAGCGTTATGTTAACATTTTGATTTTGAGACAGGGTCTAGCTCTGGTCAACCTGGTAGAGTGCTGGGGCGGCATGATGATCACTATGACCTCAACTGCTGGGCTCAAGCGATCCTCCTGCCTCAGCCTCCTGAGGAACTGGGACTACAGGTGTGCACCGCTGTGCCCGGCTGATTTTTCTCTTTATTGTAGTAGAGATGGGTCTCGCTGTGCCCAGGCTGGTCTCGACTCCTGCTCTCAAGCGATCTCCCCAGGCATGCCTGGATTACAGGCATGAGCCACCGGTGCCCGCGCTACGTTAAAAAATTTAAGGGCCAGTCCCGTTTGAGTTCGCACCAGGATTGGAGGTCAGGACAATGGGCCACAACTGGTTCCTCTCATTTCCTAATAAGGGGACTGAGACTTGAGAATTCGAAGTTTCCAAATTGCGGGAAGGATGAAGCTGGGACCTAACCCCAAAACTCCCTCCTTCCAGAATCTTCCGAGCTCTCACCGCCGTCTTATCCATCCTCACTGGGAGAGAGGTGAGAGTTGCTGTAAAGGGGGACGCAGAATGCACTGGGCATGTGTACCCTTTCTCTTCAGAATGCTTGCCCCCTCCAAAATAAACCTTCTTAGGAAACCGTCCACTGCAACAGGGCGAGAGTCCAGCTCACGATCAGGGGTCCCATAAAGGTGAGGGTGAGGATGCTGCAGAGATGGCCACGATCACAGCGGGGACCCGGTAGCCCGGGGAACATGAGCCACTCAGATGAGTCTGTTCGTGCCGGAGTGTTGGCGACGGTCAGGTATCGCGCGGCGCGCGCGCGAGGCACAGGTGCAGGCCCTCCAGCAGCATCCAGGCGAAGGCGGCCAGGTAGAGGTAGTGCAGGGCGCCGGCGACGAGGGCACACAGCGCCTGGGAGGGGCAAGGTCACCAGAAAGGGTTGTCAGGGCAGAGTGTGGCCCTGGGAACTCTCCTTGGCATTGCCATTGGGCTCTGAGCACCGGACGTTAGAGCAATGGCACTGATTTCTGTTTGTTTTCTTATTTATTGTTTCTAGAGACAGGGTCTCGCTCTGTCACCCAGGCCGAACACAGTGCTGGGATCACAGCTCACTGCAGCCTTGAACTCCTGAGCTCAAGCGATCCTCCTGCCTCAGCCTCCCGAGTAGCTGGGACTACAGGTGCGCACCACCACACCTGGTTAATTTTTCTATTTTTAGTAGAGGCGGGGTCTCGCTATGTTGCTCAGGCTGGTCTGGAACTCCTGGCCTCAAATGATCCTCCCCCCTTGGCCTCCCAGAGTGCGGGGATTACAGGCGTGAGCTACCGCACCTGGCCTTGTCCTTTTTTTTTTTTTTAAAGGTTGAATAGTATTCTAGGACATAAATCTACAAAGGCGTTTTTTTCTCCTCTGTACCAGGAAGGATCAATGAAGACAACTTTAGATTCGTAACAGTCTGGAGCCTGCACCAGAGGAATCTACAAACAGACTTTACTAACAAGCCTTTGTCTATGATTTTTTTCCCATTCCTTTCCCACTTGTCTTCCCACAGTTTGCTACCTCTAGAGACCCCAGATCCCTTTTCCTTTGTCTTGTCACTTCTCCAAAAACGTATTGTTCTTTGTGGAAGACGCCTGTGCTCTGAACTACCTCTTTGAGAATTGCTCATTTCCTGACTATCTCCCATGCACGTAGGAAGTATGCACCCCCGTGTTAACAAACTTATGTTTGCCTTTCTCTTGATAATCGCTCCTTTGTTTCGGGGGTCCCAGCGCGGAACTCAGAAAGGTAGAAGAAAGATTATGTCTTCCTCCTCTACAGCCCACGAGGTGGCATCCCCGGGGAAGGGAGGGAGTCCTCGGGAACACCACCGCCAGTACCTGGGGCTCCGTCCGGTCGATGGCCGTGAGGAAGAGGAGGTGGGCCAGGAAGAGGCAGAGCGAGAGCTGCAGGTGCAGGGAGGTGCTGGTTTCTGGATGCTCTGCACAGCAGGAAGGTGAGGGCCGCCAGCAGGAGGCACAGCAGCGAGAGGCCCAGCCCCACGTAGGTGACCACGGCCAGCACAGGGTCCTCCTCCTGCCACCCAGGAAAGCAGAGGTCACGGTCATACCCTCCTGCCCTCACACCGTGGTTCTCCTCCTTGGCCCGGGGCACCTACACACAGGCGCCGAGCCCCAGAATAGTGTGGGAAGCGTCTGCCGGGCTGTCCTTTCGGTTTGTCTTGTTTTCAGCTTTATTGACGCATTTTTTTTTTTTTTTTTTGAGACAGTCTCAAGTTTGTTGCCCAGGCTAGAGTGAGTGCCGTGGCGTCAGCCTCGCTCACAGCAACCTCAATCTCCTGGGCTCCAAGCGATCCTCCTGCCTCAGCCTCCCGAGTAGCTGGACTACAGGCATGCACCACCATGCCCGGCTATTTTTTTCTATATAGATTAGTTGGCCAATTAATTTCTTTCTATTTTTTAGTAGAGACGGGGGTCTCGCTCAGGCTGGTTTCGAACCCCCGACCTTCGAGCAATCCACACCGCTAGATGTGCTATGTCACCATTGTTTCTTAGAGCTGAATAGTACTCCATGGTATACACATACCACATTTTATTAATCCATTCTTGGATTGATGGGCTCTTGGGCTGTTTCCACAGCCTTGCAATTATGAATTGTGCTGCTATAAACATTCGAGTGCAGGTGTCTCTTTTGTAGAGTGTCATTGGATGATTCTTTTTTTTCTTGCTGACTTGTTTGAGTTCTTTATAGATTCTGGGCATCAGCCCTTCATCGGATGCATGGCATGCAAATATTCTGTGCCATTCTGCAGGTTGTCTATTCACTCTATGGATTGTTTCCTTGGCTGTGCAGAATCTTTCACCCACACGATGTCGCATCATTCGGTCCGAGAGGGGCCCGAGAATTTTAGTTTCCAGCCTGCTCCCAGGTGACCATGCTGCTGCTGGTTGGGGTACCTCCCTCTCAGAGCCACTGGTTTGAAAGGTTCTGGTTTCCTGACGCCAGTGACAATATCAATAGCACGGAATCCTGCCGCTGGAGCACGGTTGCCTCTGCCTCGAGGGAACCCTTGATTCAAGGCACGGCCAGAGTCATTAGAAGGGCAGGAAGCTGGGACTTCACTGCGTCTACAGAACGCGCTTCACGATTGCGATGCGTTGCGCCTACTCGCTAATAAATGTTTGTTTAATAAATTACCGGTACCTTGGAGAGTGTGGTGTGAAACTTCCTTTTTTCTTCTTTTTCAGACAGAGTCTCCTTCTGTGGCCCATGCATGGAGACTTCCTTTTGTTGTGGTCTGGCTCAGGGGTAGGAGGATGTGGCCAATTCTCCCCCCCGCCCCCCGCCCGCCCCAAGCCCCCACTTCTGACCACTGATGGCTACAACTGTCAATCAAAAAAATAGAACTAGGCCGGGCGCGGCGGCTCACGGCTGTGATCCCAGCGCTCTGGGAGGCCGAGGCGGGAGGATCGCTTGAGCTCAGGAGTTTGAGACCAGCCTGAGCAAGAGCGAGACCCCCGTCTCTACTAAAAAAATAGAAAAGTTAGCCAGGCGTGGTGGCGCATGCCTGTAGTCCCAGCTACTCATGAGGCTGAGGCAGGAGGATCATTTGAATCTAGGAGTTGGAGACTGCAGAGAGCTATGATGATGCTACTGCACTCTAGACCAGGTGGGACAACGAGGCCCTGTCTCAAAAAAAAAGAAAAGAAAAGAAAAGAAACAAAACAAGAGAAAAAGAAACAAAAGAAAAAAAGAAAAAAAACCCAAAACTGAATAGGTCGTTTTACCACTTCAGAACATAAGCCCTGCCATTATCACTTTCCTGCTCTCATCTCTCCTTTTTCTCTTTTTCACTTTATTTTAGCCCCACTGACCTTTTTGCTGCTCCTTGAATATGCCAGGCATGTTCCCGCCTCAGGGCCTTTGCACTGGCTGTTCTTGCTGCCTTAAACCTGCACTCTTTCCCCAGATATTATAGCTGCATGGTTGGTTCCTGGCATCCTTTTTTTTTTTTTTAGGAGACAGGGTCTGGCTCTGTCTCCCTGGCTAGAGTGCCGTGGCGTCAGCCTCACTCACAGCAACCTCAAACTCCTGGGCTCAAGCCATCCTCCTGCCTCAGCCTCCCGAGTAGCTGGGACTACAGGCATGCACCACCACGATAATTTTTTTCTACTTTTATTAGAGACAGGGCTCTCGCTCTTGCTCAGGCTGGTCTCAAACTCCTGACCTCAAGTGATCCTCTTGCCTCAGCCTCCCAGAGTGCTGGGATTACAGGTGTGAGCCACTGCACCCGGCCAGTGATGGTTCATTCTAATGTGTCAACTTGGCTGGGCCGTGGTCACCAGATATGTGGTCAAACACCAGTCTGGATGTTGCTGTGGAGGTATTTTTTAGATGAGATTAACATTCTAATCAGTAGATTCTGAGTAATGCAAGTTGCCCTCGATAAGGTGGACGAGTCTCATTGAATCTGTTGAAGGCCTTAAAGAGAAAACAGATTGTGGTTTCTTGAGGAAGAGAGAATTCTTTTTTTTTTTTTTTTTTTTTTTAAGACAGAGTCTCACACTCTGTTGACCCGAGCTAGAGTGGCCGTGGGCGTGCAGCCGTAGCTGTCAGCAGCCCAGACCTTCAAAACGTGTGCCGTGGGGGCTCAAGCGATCCTCCTGCCTCAGCCTCCCGAGTAGCTGGGACCACAGGCATGTGCCACCATGCCCGGCTAATTTTTGTATATATTTTTACTTGGCCGATTAATTTGTTTCCATTTTTAGTAGAGACTGGGTCTTGCTCTTGCTCAGGCTGGTTTCAAACTCCTGACCTCGAGGGATCCTCCCGCCTCGGCCTCCCAGAGTGCTGGGACGACAAGCGTGAGCCACCGCACCCGGCCTGAGGAAGAGGGGATTCTGACTCCAGGCTATCTCTGGATTCAAGCTTTGACATCAACTCTCTTTGCTGCGTGTCCAGCCTGCCTGCCTACCCTGCAGATTTTGGACTTGCCAGTCTCCGTCATCACATGAGCCAATTCCTTAAAGTATCTCTCTCTCTTCCCCACCCCCCACCCTATTGGTTTCATGTATCTAGACCCGGGGTCCCCAACCTATGGTGAACTGTATAATTATTTCATTATCTATGACAATGTAATAATAATAGAAACAAAGTGCACAATAAATGTAACGTGCTTGGATCATCCTGAAACCATCCCCGACTCCCTGGGCTGTGAAAAAATTGTCTTCCATGAAAATGGTCCCTGGTGCCAAAAAGGGTGGGGACTGCTGCTAGAGAGCCCGGATGAATATTCCCCCAATGCTTCCTAGGATGACCTCCCAGATAAATTCCTTACACCTGTGCCAGCGTCTGCTTCCGGGTGAACCCAAAGGGAGACACCCACAAACCGCAAAGAAGTCTCTTCCATGCTGAAGAACAGAAATTCTCCACTTTGGGAGGATGTCTTTTGTTTTTTTTAAAGGACAAAACTAGGCCAGGTGCGGTGGCTCACACCTGTAATCCTAGCACTCTGGGAGGCCGAGGCGGGAGGATCGCTTGAGGTCAGGAGATCAAAACCAGCCTGAGCAAGAGCGAGACCCTGTCTCTACTAAAAATAAATTAATTGGCCAACTAAAAATATATAGAAAAAATTAGCCAGGCGTGGTGGCGCATTCCTGTAATGCCTGTAGTCCCAGCTACTCGGGAGGCTGAGGCAGGAGGATCGCTTGAGCCCAGGAGTTTGAGGTTGCTGTGAGCTAGACTGATGCCACGGTAACAGAGCGAGACTCTATCTCAAAAAAAAAACAACAAAAAAAAACAAAAAAAAACTACAACAACGAAAAAAACTGACTTAAAAAAAAAATTAAGGACAAAACTCACAGGACACAGTCTGAGGGTGACAGACGCGTTAGGGAGGAGCCTACTGGGCATGTGTCCCCACGGCTCACACAGTGATACTGCTCTGTGTGAAAGATCCTGAAGGCAACTGTCACATGTACCTTGCATGCTTCCCTGGACAATGTCATGGCAGTGGATGTCCAGGGAGTTCATCTGGGCCTCCAAGCTGAATGTCTTCTTTTCTTCAGGGCAATTGTCTGTGACCACTCGAGTTTCGATGGCTGGGAAGAAAAGCAACGGGCAGGCTTAGGGATGTTATAAGTGGTTTTAAAAATGTGCACAGTAGCCGGGCATGGTGGCGCACGCCTGCAGTCCCAGCTACTCGGGAGGCTGAGGCAGGAGGATCGCTTGAGCCCAGGAGTTCCAGTCCAGCCTGGGCAACACAGTGAGACCTCGTCTCCGCAAAAAGTGGGCATAGCGACATGAACATCTCACATTACTGAATGTCTAGGATGTGCCAGACACTACGCTAAGACTCTTATACATGTCGTTTATTTTTTTATTTTTTGAGACAGAATCTCACTCTGTTGCCCAGGCTAGAGTGAGTGCCGTGGCGTCAACCTCGCTCACAGCAACCTCCAACTCCTGGGCTCAAGCGATCCTCCTGCCTCAGCCTCCCGAGTAGCTGGGACTACAGGCATGTGCCACCACGCCCGGCTAATTTTTTCTATATGTATTAGTTGGCCAATTAATCTCTTTCTATTTATAGTAGAGACGGGGTCTCGCTCTTGCTCAGGCTGGTTTTGAACTCCTGACCTTGAGCAATCCGCCCGCCTTGGCCTCCCAGAGTGCTAGGATAACAGGCGTGAGCCACTGCGCCCGACCTGTTTATTTTTATTCTTTATTTTTTTGTAGAGACGGGGTGTTGCTATGTCGCCCAGGCCAGTCTTGAACTCCTGGTCTCAAGAGATCCTCCTGCCTTGGCCTCCCAGAGTGCTGGGATTCCAGGTGTGAGCCACCGCGCCTGGCCTCATGCCACCTTATAACCTGCTCCTGTCACCCTGTGAAGGGTCATTATACGGATGAGGAAACCGGAAGTTCAGGAGTCAGGCGAGACCGTAGCTCCTGCAATCTTAGCCTCGCACACTGCCTTTGAAGCAATCATTCTATTTCTGCGCATTTATCCTCAGAAAACAATCACGGACAAGAGGGCAGATTTGGCTACAAGGAAGTTCCTAGTAGCTTAGATAACGATGGCGAAAAATGGGCTTTGTCACCCAGGCTAGAGTGAGTGCCGTGGCGTCAGCCTCGCTCACAGCAACCTCCAACTCCTGGGCTCAAGCCATCCTCCTGCCTCAGCCTCCCGAGTAGCTGGGACTACAGGTGTGCGCCACCCTGCCCGGCTGAATTTTTATATATATATATATTAGCTGGCCAATTAATTTCTTTCTATTTATAGTAGAGACGGGGTCTCACTCTTGCTCAGGCTGGTTTCGAACTCCTGACCTCGAGCAATCCACCCGCCTCGGCCTCCCAGAGTGCTGGGATGACAGGCGTGAGCCACCGGGCCCGGCCCTGGTTAGTGTTTGGATGGGAGACTTTTGACAAGGAACAACTGGTTAAATGAGTGATGACGTCGCCCCGTAACAGGAACCATGCTTCCAATTAAAATGAAGTCATGAAAGGATTGTGATCAAGAAACAAGCTCATGGAATCAAAGGTAGCCATGTGAGGCGACGGGTGTGCTGGCTTGATTGAGGCAATCATTCTGCGGCACACGCACATGAAGTCGTCACGTCGCACACCTAAATGTATACGATTTTATTTGCCAGCTTCCTCTCAACAAAGCTGGAAAACAAGAAGAAGGAAGCTCATGAAAATATTTAGCATAAAAAGCAGATGGTGGCCGGGCGCGGCCGAGACTCTGTCTCAAAAAAAAAAGCAGATGGCACAAGACTGGAAATTGTCCAACTGGTTGATGGGTGTAGCAGGGTTCTTACTGTCTCTTTTGGTGCATGTTAGAAGGGTTAAGAAAAAGCAAATAACAAAATAGCACATCAAGAATGATGCTATTTTAATAATATTTTATAATACCACAGACAAGAGAGATAGACTAATCATAAATATAGCAATCGCCACCTTAGTTCTAACTGCATTACATACACTATTGTCATTCCCATTTTACAGATGTGGAAACTGAGGCCCAGTGAGGAGAAAGCGCTGGTCCCAGATCAAACAATTAGGACTTGGCAGAATCAACACAGCTGAGTGATGCAGAATCTGAACAATGGTTTCATTTTGAACTAAAGTGTCCGGGTTCCAGTTTCCCGAGAAGGTTAGGAATTGAATTTTCAAAAAAACAAACAAATACGCTTCTTTTAAGTTAAAATTCCAGACCTGGGATTAGAAATCACTGGCAATCTTTTTAGTAAACAGCTTTACCGGGGTGTACACACCAAAGTGTACGACGTGGTGAGTTTTGCTGGGTGCATACACCAGTGAAACCAACACCACGATCAAGGTAGGGAACATTTCCCCCGATAATTTCCCCCCCCAAATTTCTCATGCCTCTTTGTCATCTCTCCCTCCTTCCCTTCCTTGTCACCATAGATACGTTTGCATTTTCTGGGGTTTTATATAAATGGACTCATGCAGTGCGTTTTTCTTTTTTCTTTTTTTTTCTGATTGCTTAACCCAGACCCCGACGGGTATCTGGTCTGCAACTGTGTATCACGTGATATCATCTTCTTACCCACGGTACTGTTTTGGACTTTCTGGACTTTTTGCTCTGGGGCTTTCAAAGCGGTGTTTAGGACATCTAGTTCCACATCCCGGAGGATAGATGTAGCTGTGGATGCGACTTCATGCTTCTTCCCCATTTGCCATAGAGTATTATTGGTGATCAATGTCTCAAATTGGTCAATAATCCGTTGCAGCTTTAAAGACATAAAAATTTAAGAGTATGTAATCCGATAGGTCCCATATCTAAACGAATGGTAGAAAGCGCAAGAAAGCAGGCTCTGGAGCCAGAGGAACCAGGTTCAAGTCCTGACTCCGCTGTTTACTGGCTGTGTGGCCTTGGGCAAATCACTCAGCCACTCTGTGCCTCAGGACAGGAAAAGAATCTCATAGAGTTTTCTGGAAGATTAAATGAGTTAAGAGATGCGATGTTTTTAGAACAGTTAGCTGTATCTGGTAAACATCATGTAAGGATTTTAGGGTTCAGAAACCCTAAAATAGAGTTAGTTATAGCCCAGAACACACTTTTATTGGCCTTTTTAAATCAAGAAATTTGTCTATGAAGGCTGGCAAAGAGTTGGGTCAGTGGCTGGGGAAGAATGAGGGGCCAAAGAGAAGTTTTAAAAGTTGTAATAGAGGTGATTTAAAAGACTATTTTTGGCCAGGCATGGTGGCTCACGCTTGTAATCCTAGCACTCTGGGAGGCCGAGGTGGGAGGATCAATCAAGGTCAGGAGTTCAAAACCAGCCTGAGCAAGAGCAAGACCTTGTGTCTCTACCAAAAATAGACAGAAATTAATTGGTCAACTAAAAATATATAGCAAAAATGAGCCGGGCATGGTGGTGCATGCCTGTAGTCCCAGCTACTCGGGAGGCTGAGGCAGGAGGATCGCCTGAACCCAGGAGATTGAGGTTGCTCTGAGCTAGGCTGACGCCAAGGCACTCACTCTATCCTGGGCAACAGAGTGAGACTCTGTCTCAAAAAAAAAAAAAAAAAAAAAAAGCCTATTTTCATGCCAATCCCACCTCATCCTTGTAATCAAAGTGTGGTCCTTGAACCAGCAGCATTGGCATCCCCTGGGGGCCTGTTAGAAATGCAGAATCTGGGCCCCAGCTCAGGTGTGCTGAATCCAGATCTGCACAATGTGATCTGAGAGATCAAAATAGGTGACCCTGTATCAGCTAAAACAGACCCCGAGGTTAAGGGAAATGAAGGCTCCCTACGGGTGTAGGGTTCAGGGCCCAGCTGGCATGGCACATTTCTAAATTCTTATGCTACAGGGAAAACCACACCTTTGCTAACCTCCCCGACCATCGGAGCTACCAGCCCTGATTCACAGCCCGGACCGCTGCAGTCCTGGTTGGGCAGAGCACTGGCTCACAAAGGGCCTTCTCTCATCAGCAACTGCGGCGCTTAAGCCTGTTGCAACTGGCGTGTACAGGCTGTGCACAAGCTTTATTTGTGTCCTGTAGTTCACCTTTTTGTCACCAAGAGCCAAATTCCACCTCATTTTAATGCTAAAACCCCAACCCCAGCTGACCACGGGATGCACGGTGCATATATGTTTGCTCGCTGCGCATGCGCTCAACTCCCCTCGTAAATGTGAGTGCAGTCTCCCCAAGCCTGCGATTATGCGTGACTCTTTTGTGGAATACAGACTCTGGGAGGCACAAAGACCCAATCTGGACCTTTCCCCCTTGAAGAGAGAGCACCTTCGGTCCACGTTGAAGACCGTCTCCTCCCAGTTTGCAAGCTATTATCATCAATGGCGCCCCCCTACTCAGCCATGCTGGTGCTCTTTTGGACAGAAGCTCTAACAAGCCCCTAGGGGCTTTCTGGACCCATGAAAGTTCTAGACAGTAAGTTCCATCAGTCTCCCAACCTACATCTGTTGTTGCACAAACAATTTTTTTCACTTGACAAAATATCACAGGCTCTACATTTAGCCCTACTGCGTTCCTTTTAATAGCTGCAATAATATAGTAGTATTCCACAAATAATTTTTTTTATTTTTCAGACAGAGTCTCGCTTTGTTGCCCAGGCTAGAGTGAGTGCCGTGGCGTCAGCCTAGCTCACAGCAACCTCCAACTCCTGGGCTCAAGCCATCCTCCTGCCTCAGCCTCCCGAGTAGCTGGGACTACAGGCGTGCGCCACCACGCCCGGCTCATTTTTTTGTATATATTTTTATTTTTTATTTATTTATTTTTTTTCCTTTTTTTTAAAACTTGGTGAACATGGCAAGTATATATTTTTAGTTGGCCAATTAATGTCTTTCTATTTTTAGTAGAGACGGGGTCTCGCTCTTGCTCAGGCTGGTTTTGAACTCCTGACCTCGAGCGATCCTCCTGCCTCAGCCTCCCAGAGTGCTAGGATTACAGGCGCAAGCCACCGCGCCCGGCCTGAATGCTGTATTTTTGCACCACGTTTGGTTGAAAAACATCTGAGTATACGTGGACTCCTACAGTTCAAACCCATGTTGTTCAAGAGTCAGTTGTATATACAGTGACATATCTACAGGGAGACATAGAGTGATATGCATGTAGTGACATTCCTAATGATATATGTAGTGATATGTATCGATCAATATTTATATATACACGACAGTTATATATAATATGTCAATATATAAATGTTATACAGTATCATGATATCACCTAGTAGTGATATTCTAGAGTTGTATATAATACACACACTGTGCTTCACTCCACCACCACTTGCCAACGCTGGGCTTCGTAAATATCTGTTTCCCGGCCAGGCTGCAGGGACCAGCCTCCACTCACCTCTTTCTTGCTTTCGTCCATCCTGAAGGCGGAGGCGTCTGCAAAAGAAACCACGAGGGTGTCACTGCTAGGAGTGAGAGCGACCGTGGGGAGCAGCGGGCAGGGGAGGTGGGCGACTTTCATCTCTGTTCGCTGACAGTATTTTGCACACGGGGGTGGGGATCAGAGCACGAGTCTCCTGTCATGGCGTAGGGCAGCGGGTTTGAACTGGGGGTGACTTTGCCCCCCCCCCGGGCAACATCTGGCAACGTCTGGAGATATTTCTGGTGGCGAGGACTTGGCGGGGTGGCGGGGTGGGGGAGACACCATTGCGTCTAGCGGGGGGTGGCAGCCTGGACGCTGTCCCACACCCTGCGGTGCACGAGACAGCCCCGCCACGCAAAACCATCACCAGACTCCGGTGCCGCCGCGGCGGAGGAACTGTGGCCTAGAGGACGCAGAAAAATGGAAGCTCCAAATTCGTTAGCTTGGTCTCGGCTGGAAACTATAACAGAAATGGACGAGAAAACTGAAAATGACAAAAAGCCGCATGTTTGGGCCGGGCGCGGTGGCTCACGCCTGTAATCCTAGCACTCTGGGAGGCCGAGGCGGGTGGATTGCTCGAGGTCAGGAGTTAGAGACCAGCCTGAGCAAGAGCGAGACCCCGTCTCTACTATAAATAGAAAGAAAGTAATTGGCCAACTAATATATATCAAAAAAATTAGCCGGCATGGTGGCGATGCCTGTGTCCCAGCTACTGGGAGGCTGAGGCAGGAGGATCGCTTGAGCCAGGAGTTTGAGGTTGCTGTGAGCGAGGCTGACGCCACGGCACTCACTCTAGCCTGGGCAACAAAGTGAGACTCTTGTCCTTCAAAAAAAAAAAAAAAAAAAAAAGCCGCATGTGTGTTGAAGCCAGCCTGTCTGGGAATGATCACCAAAACAGAAGCATCCGTTTTTGGTTATGGGCTGCTGACAAAGAGCGTTTGGTCGCGTCCTGCGCTACATGAGCACAACCATCTCTGTTCTAGAAAGGCGAGGAAAGGCTAGCGATTGTTTACACATCTGTCACCACCAGGCTGAGGTTAAACCCACGCTTATTATTCTGGATCTTGCTTTTCAGCTGAGTCTGTTTGTTGAAAAGGGCAAAGAGCTTTATTGCAACATAGAAGGTTTTGTCTTAAGAGTTCGAGAACTTTGACTTACAACCCTGAGTCTAGAATACGGTTGCTAGGAAAGCACCTTCATTGTAGAAACTGCCCTTTTGAGTGAAAACTGCAAATTCTGTCACTGAGGGATTGCTTGGACCTGCCAGCCGTGGTGATACCTAACTCCAGACAGGCTCAGTCTGCGTCAAAGGACTGTGTAGACCTCCCCTGACATTTTTGAGACAGAGTCTTCCTCTGTCGCCCGGGCTAGAGTGAGTGCCGTGCCGTCAGCCTCGCTCACAGCAACCTCAAACTCCTGGGCTCAAGCGATCCTCCTGCCTCAGCCTCCCGAGTAGCTGGGACTACAGGCATGCGCCACCATGCCCGGCTAATTTTTCAATATTTTTTGTAGAGATGGAGTCTTGCTGTTGCTCAGGCTGGTCTTGAATTTCTGGCTTCAAGTGATCCTCCTACCTCGGCCTCCCAGAGTGCTGGGATTATAGGCCCTGAGCCACCGCCCTTGACCTGGAATTTAGCTTTAAAGTCTTTCTGTTATGGGCTGGGCACAGTGGCTCACACCTGCAATCCTAGCACTCTGGGAGGCCGAGACGGGAGGATCGCTCAAGGTCAGGAGTTCGAAACCAGCCTGAGCAAGAGCAAGACCCCATCTCTACTAAAAATAGAAATAAATTAATTGACCAACTAAAAAGATATAGAAAAAAATTAGCCGGGCATGGTGGCGCATGCCTGTAGTCCCAGCTACTCGGGAGGCTGAGGCAGGAGGATCGCCTGAGCCCAGGAGTTGGAGGTTGCTGTGAGCTAGGCTGATGCCATGCCACTCTAGCCCGGGCAATAAAGTGAGACTCTGTCTCAAAAATAAGTAAATAAATAAAAAATAAAGTCTTTCTGTTATGATTCCTACAGTAGCCAATGCCTCATGGTCAGTCTTCCAAGCCCCATGCCTTTTCTACATATAGACTTTTCCCATGTGTGTGGTTTCCATGGGCGCTGTCATGTTTATATAACATAGTACCTTCCTCTGAACACAGATGCAAGGGTGGACTCAAACTGGACCCATTTGTTCATTCCCAGAGAATTTGCAATTGGTCCCAAGAGAGTGTCAATTAATTTCTCTTGGGCTGGTTGGAGCAGTAACAGCGGTAAGACCTGAAGCTGTCGGTGGTGAGGTCTGTGTCCTGTGGTCTAGGAAGCAGAGACAGCCAGCCCACCATGAAAGATGACAAAGGAACAGACCCGAAGAGGATCAGAGACGGGGAATGGGGCGTGCACCCTGATGGCATTGAGTTCCCAGCTGCAGTTAATTCCAGAAGCCCACTGCCATTCCTGTCCTTCAGTTCTAAGGCACATGTATACACATCCTTGTCATAAACTCATCTCTTCTGCTGAAGTTAGCCTGAGTGTCTCCTCCTTGCGACTCAAAGAATCCTGTCTCAGTCACCACCTGGTCACGTCCTCCATCTCCAAACTACACACGCCTTCCTCACCCCATGATTTCCCTGAACTTGAACTTCCTTCTTTCCTTTTCCCTCTAGAGAACAGGAACATACCCTGGCCCCGCAGAAGAACATCTTTTCTAGTGTCGGACTCCATAAAAAAATGAGGAAGGGAGGTAAGAGAGACAAGGGTTTTCTTACTCCGACAGGTGTTCTCGCTCAAATTCTTGAATTCTGTGTCCCCAGAAGGGAGTTCATACCCAGGGACGCAGCGGCAGTGGAAGCTTCCTTCGGTGTTCTGACATTCGGCGTTTAATCCGCAATGTATACTAAAGGGTGGTAGGCATTCATTGACATCTGGAACACAGAGCAGAAATGTCCCATTCATTCAAGAAAGAATACGAAGTGCTCAGAAGTTGCGCTCTTTCCCCCCTCCTGGGGTGTCTGCTTGCTTTCCAAGACAAATCGATGTAGGTCATGGTCATTTTTGTGTGTGTGTGTGTGTTTTTTTTTACCTTTCCTCGTTGATTTTGGTTGGGTTCTCCAAGAGGCAGACACTGAGACAGAGATTCAAGTGCTTTATTTGGGACGTGGCGCTAGAAAGCCCTCTGAAATGAAACCAGGTTAACAGAAGGCAGAAAGAAAATAAAGGCAGAGGCCGGGCGCGGTGGCTTATGCCTGTCATCCTAGCACCCTGGGAGGCCGAGGCCGGTGGATTGCACGAGGTCAGGAGTTCGAAACCAGCCTGAACAAGAGCGAGACCCCGTCTCTACTATAAATAGAAAGAAATTAATTGGCCAACTAATATATATAGAAAAAAATGAGTCGGGCATGGTGGCGCATGCCTGTAGACCCAGCTACTCGGGAGGCTGAGGCAGGAGGATTGCTTGAGCCCAGGAGTCTGAGGTTGCTGTGAGCGAGGCTGACGCCACGGCACTCACTCTAGCCTGGGCGACAGAATGAGACTCTGTCTCAAAGAAAAAAAAAAGAAAAGAAAAGAAAGGCGGGTTTCCACTGTGGGCAACTGTGGTGCAGTTCCTCTGGGGACCTCTGGGAGACAACGTAGAGCACGCGCACACACACACGTCAGCGTGATCCCATCTGAGGGGCGGGGAGGGATCTGGGGTGTTTATCCACCGACTGCTACCACTTATTGGTGGAGAGCTGCTCCCTGTACTGTTTTTTTTTGGTAAACATGTCATAGGTTAATTGTTGGTATTTTATTTCTAGTTTTAACAGCTTTATTGAAATATAATTCACACATCATACGATGAATCCATTTAAAATGTTTGTGCGGTCCCCATTTCTCCCAGCCCCGGCTCCCCAGGACTTTCTGCCTGTCCTGAGCATGAGCCGAGTGGTTTCCGGTAGTAGCCAGAGAAGGCCTCAGACTTGGGGTGCCAAGGAATGGAGAATTCTGAGGGTATACCGGTACTTAAATGGGATACTGACCATGCTGACTGCTACGCACTAAATATTCGCATGCCCTCCGGATCGGTGTGTTGAAACCCTAATCTCTGGCGCGGCTGCATGTGAAGATCGGGCCTCTAAGGAGGCAATTAAGGTTGAATGAGGTCGTGAGAACGAGGCCCGGGCTTGATACTACGAGTGTCTTCCTAAGAAGAGGCGCAGGGGCGCTCTCCGTCTCTGCGCACGCTCGCCCGGGAAGGTCGTGAGAGGACGACGTGAGATGGCGGCTGTCTGAAAGCGAGGAAGAGAGCCCCTCGCCGGAAACGGAATCTGCCAGAACCCTGGCCTCGGATTGCTAACCTCCAGAACTGCGAGAAGATAAATTTCTGTTGTCTGAGCCGCTCGGCCTGTGGCATTTCGTGGTGGCAGCCTGAAAAGGCCAATACCTATGGTGAACTAGCTAACTCCGACTCAGCGAGAGTGCTTTTGTTGACGCGGTGTGTCTCCGGTCCCGTGGTTTCTTTGCCATGGTGTCAGACGGGGAGTAAACAATGTGTAGTCCCTCTGTCTAGTACAGGAAATGGAACATTTGGGATTTTCGGGGCAGGACACAGTGTGGCAGTTGCTGTTTGCTGCCCGTTCCAGAGGCACTCCTCCCTCTTTTCTCGCCTCGTTGGGCAGTCAGTCATGGCGGCCTTGTTCCCGTTTCTCAGTTACTCTCTCTCCCAGCTTCCCTTTCAGCTAGCATGGTCATGTGACACGGCACCGGCCAATGAAAACTAACGAACGGTCTTCCGGGGAAAATGGTTCTTCATGACAAAAAGGACAGGATTACTCAGGCATTTGATTTCTTGCAAATGAATGAATTGTAAGGGATACATAGAAGATATCAGGGAGGTAGAGAGCATGGCTACTTTGTATTGCTGAAACCATAAAATGTTATTCTTTTATCTCTTTGTGGTAGATTAAAGATGGCCACAAATTCTCTTCTGTTGAGATGTGGGATGGAGTTCCCCTTCCCTTGAAACTGGGCCGGCCTGTGCCTTTTTTTGGCCAATACAGTGCTTTAGAAGTCACTCCATGCCAGGGTTAGACCTAGACTTTAAGCGGTCTGGCATCTGCAGCCTTGCTCCCTTGGAAGCCATCTTTTGCGGATTGAATTGTGTCCCCCCAAAAGGATACATTGAAGCCCTAACCCTCGGTACTTGTGAGTGTGACCTTATTTGGAAACAGATTCTTGACAGAGGTAATAGGGTTTTTTTTTTTTGTTTGTTTGTTTTTTTTGAGACAGAATCTTGCTTTGTTGCCCAAGCTAGAGTGAGTGCCATGGCGTCAGCCTAGCTCACAGCGACCTCAAACTCCTGGGCTCAAGCGATTCTACTACCTCAGCCTCCCAAGTAGCTGGGACTACAGGCATGTGCCACCATGCCTGGCTCATTTTTTTCTCTATATATTAGTTGGCCAATTAATTTCTTTCTATTTATAGTAGAGACGGGGTCTCCCTCTTGCTCAGGCTGGTTTCGAACTCCTGACCTCGAGCGATCCGCCCGCCTCGGCCCCCCAAAGCGCTAGAATTACAGGCATGAACCACCGCGCCTGTCTGAGGTGATAGGGTTGACATTAAGTATAATTAGGATGGGGACTCAGGCAATGTTACTGGTGTCCTTCTAAGAAGAGAAAAATGCCGTGTGAAAACAGATACGCGTAGGAGGAATGCCACGTGATGAAGGGAGCAGGAATTGGAGTGATGACCGGTGTGAGCCACTGAGCTTATGTTGAAATTTGATGGCGGATGTGGCAGTGCTGGGAGGTGGGGCGCAGTGGAGATGTTTGGGCCAGGGGGGCGGATCCCTCCGATGAATGCTCTCCTACGGGAAACGGGGGTCCTCGTTCCTGGGGGATGGACGAGTCCCTGAGAGAACAGGTTGTTAAGAAGAACCTGCGTCCTTGGTCTCTCTCTCTTGCTTCCTCTCTTGTCATGTGATCTCGTTGCCCATGCCTGCTTTCCCTTGCTTTCCGCCAAGAGTTCAAGCAGCCTGAGGTGCAGCTGCCCAGTCTTGAACCTTCCGGCCCCCAGAATCACAAACCAATGACCTGACCCAGCCTCACACAGTCTGTTATAGCAACCCCAAATGAACTAAGACAGCCTTCACCCTATCTCCCTTTGTCTTGTGCCTCTGGGTGACTTAAAAATTACCCCTTTACCGTCACATGTTTCCAAGGGGAACGTGAAGAATGTCTGTTTAGATCCAGAAACGAATCCAGGGTTGCAGGTGCAGTGGGTGCTGTTGACACAGGAAGCATTTGAGGGGCAGTTGGGACAGGTAGCTGCAGGGAAAAGAGAGACAGTCAGACGTCACCAGGGTGACAGACTCCCGTTATCATCGGGCCTCACCTCTGGGCAGGGTCTCCTGAAGCCAAAGGGAGGCCTGAACATTTTCCCTTGTGAGATCTTAGTACGTTAAAAAATTAGAGATGCCAAACCCGAGTTACAAAAAAAGTGGGATTCCTATTCACAATAAAGGACTGGGGTTGGTTAAACAAGTTAATTTTAATTAAACAAGTTAATTTTTTTTTATTTTTCGAGACAGAGTCTCACCTTGTTGCCCTGGCTAGAGTGCCGTGGTGTCAGCCTAGCTCACAGCAACCTCCAACTCCTGGGGTCAAGCGATCCTCCTGCCTCAGCCTCCCGAGTAGCTGTGACTACAGGCATGCGCCACCACACCCAGCTAATTTTTTTCTATATATATTAGTTGGCCAATTAATTTCTTTGTATTTATAGTAGAGGTGGGGTCTCGCTCTTGCTCAGGCTGGTTTCGAACTCCTGACCTTGAGCAATCCACCCGCCTCAGCCTCCCAGAGTGCTAGGATTACAGGCATGAGCCACCATGCCCGGCCCTAATTTTAACACAAGCATTTTCAGGGCAGCATGGCTGTGCTATTTTCATCATTTCAGAATTTATTAAAAAAAAAAAAAAAAAGGAGTAGTTGGTTAAGACCTTGGACCCTGAGTTCAACTCTGGCTTCCCCACTTACTAGCTGTGTGTCCTTGGGCAAGTGCCTTAACCTCTCTATGCCTCAATCCCCTCATCTGTAAAATGAGCTATTGTTAGGATGAAGTGAATTAATATGTATTAATAAAGTGCTTTGGGCAGTGCCTGTCATGGAATAAGAGTCAGTTATGATTATAAAACTTTGAATTTGGAGGGTCTCATAGGAGGTAGATTCTGATAATTATACACATTAAGGTCATTTTTTTCAGGTTTCATTATTTATTATGAAAATAATGCATTCACAGGATTGAAAAAAATCAAACAGTAAGTCTCTTATCATCCCAGATTCTAAGCCATCAACTGCTTATTGTATATTTCTCCACAAAACTTGAATGCTTATATAATATATGAACATCCTTTTTTCCTTACATGATAGGAATATTATTATGTTCTTATCATGTAAAGAATCACTTGCTCTGTTATGTCTTTGGTTTTTATGTAAAATTTTGTGTGATAGATTTTTTTTTTCCCCCACAGCTTCACATGTGGAACAGCCTATTTATTTATTTAGAGACTGGGTCTTGCTCTGTTGCCCAGGCTGGAGTGCAGTGGCATCATCATAGCTCACTGCAACCTCAAACTCCTGGGTTCAAGTGATCCTCGCTCCTCAGTCTCCTGAGTAGCTAGTAGCTAGGACTAGAAGCATGCACCACTGTACATGGCTAATTAAAAAAAAACTTTTTTTAGAGATGGGGGTCTTGCTATGTTGCCCAGGCTGGTCTCAAACTTCTGACCTCAAGCGATCCTCCTACCTTGGCCTGTCCTTCCAATTTTTAACTTCATATTTGATCAGGAGAGTCTTCTCAGAAGAGGTGATATTGTCCTCAGAGGAACAAAGTAGTCACTTGCTATATATGCACCATTCTACAGAATCTTTTTAAACTCATTTCTGTTCCATTACTTCCCTTCTTGTCCAGATTCTGCTTAGTTCAGAGTCAGCTCTGAAAGTCCACTCTTAATCTTTCCCAGGACTTAATACCTTACGATATTGGGTATACTGGTTTAAACAGTGTCCTCCTAAAATTTCTGTCCACCCAGAACCTCAAAAAAATGCATTTTTTTTTTTTTGGTAAACAACGTATTTGCAGATGTAATCGAGTTAAGATGAGGTCACACTGGATTAGGGTGAGCCCTATACGAACAGAGAAATGTGGACACAGAACATACAGAGAGAACAACAAGAAATTATGGAGGCAGAGATTGCAGCGATGCATATGCAAGCCAAGGAACACTGCAGCAACCACAAGAAATTAGGAAGAGGCCAGGAAGAGTCCTCCCCTGGAGCTTTTAGAGTCCTGCCAATGCTTTGATTTTGGACTTTTGACTTCCAGAACTGTCAGAGAATAAATTTCTGTTGTTTTAAGCAAAAAAAAAAAAAAAAAAAAAAAAAAGAATTGCAGACTCTCAGGCTCCACCCTAGACCCTGAATTTAGTGAGAGTCCCAGGAGAGTAAAGGTAAACAGTAACAATCTTGTTCATTATTTGTTGACTTTACGATCAGAATGATAAAGAGTATCACTGCTTTGTCTCTCCCCACTAGAATGCTTATTTCATGAAACTTTGCGTGTTTTATTTAATGCTTTCTCTATACGTGGTGTCCCTTGTGGTTTGCAAAAACAGACAGGCACATTAAAAACCATACAAAAAGGCACATAAAAAGATATCTACGTTTGACGTCATGGTCAGTTAAACAAACAAGCACAGGAGCAAGCCTTCCCAAGTATCAGCTCCCAAACCAAACACTTTTCTTTAGCCTTTTGGAGAACATGGATGGAGGCTGGTCCAGCCTTGGGCCACCTTGGGCCACACTCTCCTTGTTCTGGCTCCTGGCACTCACCTTTGGGCGTCTGAGCCACATCTCCGGACAAGCTCAGCAGAAAGCAGAGTCCTGGAACAGAAGGGAAGCAGAAGGGAGAGGCATGAAACAATCAAGGAAAGATACCATGAAATTCCCCAAGGGCTGTATATTTATTGGATAGCTACTGCTGCGTAACGAATCATCACAAAAATGTAGTGGGTTAAAACAACTATGTTTATTTTGTGATCTCTCTTGGTTTCTGTGGGTCAGGAATCTAGGAAGGGCTCAGCTGGGTGGTTCTTGCTCAGGGGTCTTATACGGTTGTAATCAGACAGTGGCTGTGGCTGGAGCAGCTGAGAACCAACTGGGCATTGCTGTCCCTTCATGTAGTCTCAGAGCGTGGGTGAGTTTGGGCTCCCTTCCAGCATGGCAGCCTCAGGCTGGCTGCTTCCATGGCACCGCTAAGCTCTAAGCGTGAGTGATCCAGCCAACAAGGTTGGATCTCCTCTGAACACCCAGCTCTGGAAGTCAGGAAACTCTACTTCCATCATATTCCCTTTTATACAAGCAAATGACAAGCCCACTCAGCTTCAAAAGTGGAGAAAAATCAAATTCTTCCTCCTTATGGGGGACTCTACAAGATTCTAGAAACACATCTTAGAAGATACTATTCCTACCTTTTTGGAAAATAGTTTGCCCAAAACCAAATAGCTGTGAGACTTTGAGCATTTCACATAACCCCTCTGTGATGCCATTTCTCACCTGTAATTTGGAGATGTCATGCAATCATGAATGTAAAGCAACTTTAGTATGATTCCAGGCTAGAGTAGCTGCTTACTAAATGTAAGCTTTGATTCACATTGCGGTTGTTGGTATTGTCGCTTGATCTGGGGCCAGAAGGAGGGATGGGATTTCAGAGTTGAGGAACCATCTGTACAGATGTGGTGATTGAAGTCACAGAATCCTGAGATTGCTTAAAGGAAGAGGGAGTAGAAGAGCAGAATGCCCTAGGCGGAATGCTAGGAAGGGAAAAGTGTTATAGCGAAGATCTGGAGCCGGAAGTCTTAGGTTCGAATCCTGGCTCTGCCATTTTACTAGCTGTGTGACCTTGGACAAATAACATAACCTCTCTGTGCCCGTTTTCTCGTCTGTCGCATGGGGACGACAACAATAGTGTCCATCCTGTAAGCCTACTGTGAGGATTAAATGGGTTAGCACACGTGAGGTGCACAGTGAGCTCTCAAAAATGTTGGTTGTTATTGTTTCTTGTGCATAAATTTATGGGGCACAAATGTCATTTTGTTGCATGCAAGGGTTGCATAGTGGTGAAGTCAGGGACTTGAGGCATCATCCAAATAACTTGCATTGTGTACCTATTAAGTAATTTCTCATCAGCCACCCCCCTCGGGCCCCCTCACCCTTTTGAGTCTCCATATTCTATCATTCCACGCTGTGTCTGTGTGTACACATTACTTAACTCCCCCTTTTAAGCGAGAACGTGCGGTATTTGTCTTTCTGTGTCTGACTTCTTTCACTTTAAGATAATGGACTCCAGTTCCATCCGTGTCATCTCTGTCATTATTTTCTCGGCACAGGAGAAAGCAAAAGAAAGGGGCAGAAAGAATAGCAAGAGAGACAGGAAAAAAGTCAGTGAGTGCAATGCTAGGTCATAAAAACTTTCAAAGAGGAGAGGACAGCAATTTAAAAAAAAAAAAAAAAAGAACTTGTGATGAGGAAGATGCTGAACCACCCATTGGATTGGACCAAAAGGAAAACTTTGGCGACATTGGAGAGCATAGTTTGAGTGGGTTGGTGCGGAAGGAAACCACAGTCCAAAGGGAAAAGGAGAAAGTGTTCAAAGCAGAAGAGAGGAAAGAGGAGAAAGAGAAGACAGCTAAATGTTGAGCCAAGTGGCTCCTGATTGGGGGTAGGTTGAATGCAGCCCTTGCTGTGGCCACACTGAGATGGGGAACCAGCCAGACCTGCTTAACACAGAACCAAAAGCCCTGACCAGCCTGATCAAAAACAGGATGTGGGCCGGGCGCGGTGGCTCACGCCTGTAATCCTAGCACTCTGGGAGGCCGTGGTGGGAGGATCCCTCGAGGTCAGGAGTTCAAGACCAGCCTGAGCAAGAGCGAGGCCCCGTCTCTACTATAAATAGAAAGAAATTAATAGGCCAACTAAAAATATATAGAGAAAAATTTAGCTGGGCATGGTGGCGCATGCCTGTAGTCCTAGGCTGAGGCAGGAGGATTGCTTGAGCCCAGGAGTTTGAGGTTGCTGTGAGCTAGGCTGACACCATGGCACTCTGGCCTGGGCAACAGAGGGAGACTCTGACTCAAAACAAAACAAAACAAAACCAACAACAACAAAAAACAAAACAGAAAACAAACAAACAAACAAACAAACAAAACAGTATGCGGTGGTAGGACAAGTGAAGACAGGTCAAAACCAAGATGGCAAGGAAATTAGCTGCTGCTTGACCTGAGTTGTAATATACTAGCATGCTAAAATAGAAACTCCCACCAACATTTCCATGAGGGACCTTATAAAGGAAGAAAAGGGAAGGGTTCCCAGTTTTAGGATGTCACTGCTTCTTTCCAAGAAATGACAAGAATATTCCTCCTCTGCTCAGCCTATGATTAACCCAGTGCTTAAATGAAAATAAATAAAATCAATAAATAAAAAAGTCCCAGAGTTGTTGGATTCTTTTTTTTCTTTTTTTTTTTGAGACAGAGTCTTGCTTTGTTGCCCAGGCTAGAGTGAGTGCCGTGGCGTCAGCCTAGCTCACAGCAACCTCCAACTCCTGGGCTCAAGCGATCCTCCTGCCTCAGCCTCCCGAGTAGCTGGGACTACAGGCATGTGCCACCATGCCCGGCTAATTTTTTATATATACATATCAGTTGGCCAATTAATTTCTTTGTATTTATAGTAGAGACGGGGTCTTGCTCTTGCCAGGCTGGTTTTGAACTCCTGACCTCGAGCATCCGCCCGCCTCAGCCTCCGAGAGAGCTAGGATTACAGGCGTGAGCCACCGCGCCCGGCTAGTTGTTGGATTCTTTAGCAAGGAGAACTAGCCTCTACTCTGTCTGCAGAGTAGATCTTTTATACCTCCTAAATAAAACTTGCTTTTGCTGTATACCGTCCGCTGGCTCTCAAATTCTTTCTCGCGCGAAGCCAGGGACCCACCTGGACTCCAGTGTTGGGAGGGACTTTCCCGCGACAACACGTACCTGGAAAAAGCGATGGCCACCGCATTCCGGTGGTGCGGGTAACCCACGCCAGCCGGCTCGGGAAGCTCTCTGCTGTGAGTCCAGCCAGCCACCTTTCCTGGCTCAGGAAATCTCATGAGAATTGACACAGGCGTCTTAGGTCAGCTGACTCAGGAAATTGCTATCAGAAAAGCGAACTTCTGCTCTTTCACCATTTAGACACAGGGTTCTGCTTTTTATTTCCTAGGTGTTTCTCTTTTTTATGGTTAATAAAAATGTATTGTATAATTTCTTTCTTTAAATTTCAGCATATTATGGGAGTACACATGTTTAGGTTACGTATACTGCCTTTGCCTCACCCGAGTCAGAGTGCAAGCATGTCCACCCCCCAGACGGTGCCCCTGCACCCATTACGAATATATATACTCATCCGCTCCTCTCCCACCTGCCTGACACCCGATGAATGTTATTACTCTATGTGCACTTAAGTGTTGATCAGTTAATATGAATTTTTTTTTTTTTTTTGAGACAGAGTCCTGCTTGTCCAGGCTAGAGTGAGTGCCGTGGCATTCAGCCTAGCTCACAGCAACCTCAAACTCTGGGCTCAAGCGATCTCCTGCCTCAGCCTCCGAGTAGCTGGGACATACAGGCACGAGCCACCATGCCCGGCTAATATATATATTATTTATATATTATATTATTAATATATTATTGGCCAATGATTCTTTTCTTTTTATAGTACAGCAGGGTCTCAACACAGCGGTTGACTTTGAGCATCCGCCCCCTGGCCTCCCAAGTGCTAGGATTACAAGGCGTGAGCCACCGCGCCGGCCAGTTATAATTATTGGTGAGTACATGTGGCTTGGTTTTCTATTCTTGGATAATCATTAGTTTGGGCAGCTCTATCCAGGATAAGAGGAGCTAGATCACCATTTTTTTTTGTGTGGCTGAATAGTACTCCATGGTATACATATATCACGTTTTATTAATCCACTCATGAATTGATGGGCACTCGGGTTGTTTCCACATCTTTGCAGTTGTGAATTGTGCTGCTGTAATAAACATTCTTAGTGCAGATGCCTTTTTTATAGAATGTCTTATGTTCTTTTGGTTAGATGCCCAGTAATGGGATTGCCAGATCAAATGGTAGATCTACTTGTATCTCTTTGAGGTATCTCCATATTGCTTTCCACAGGGGCTGGACCAGTTTGCAGTCCCACCAGCAGTGTAGGAGTGCTCCTCTCTCTTCTCTCCACATCCACACCAACATTTATTGTTTTGGGACTTTTTGATAAAGGCTATTTCCTAGGCTTTTAATGGGCTTGTTTTTGTAGGCTTTTTTTTTTTTTTTTTTTTGGTGGTATTTTCCCCAGCTATTGTCGATCACTTTTGGGATAACAGAATCAGTTGACCCTAACATAGAACTGCCCTTTAGGTCACGTTGTCATTGCCTGAAGCTCAGGAAGTGACTTTGAGATCAAAATAAATGGTAAACGAACCTGTGGTTTTGACCCAGGTAAGCCAAGATTTTTGAGATATCTGTGTCGGTATCTAAAGTTTCTAGAGAAGTAGGTAATTTTCACACATTTTGGGATTTCTTTCCCCCAGCAGATGGCACTCACCAGTTTTGACTGAGGTCCCAAAGTTCATAGAGGGTGATTTTTTTTTATTTAGTCACTTTGGGTCTATTCAGGTCGTTGTTAGAGGACTTGAGAGAAAAGTTCTCTAAATATTTGCATCCTTCAATGAAAATTTATTAGACAATTATTATTCGGTGACAGGATGTGTGCTACCTTCTAGAGATACAGCAGGGAACAAAAAGGGACACAATCTTTCCTTCATAGAACGTAGAGTCTAGTAGGGAAGCGAGACAGTGAAAGAAATACAGCAGGCCGGCGCGCGGCGGCTCACGCCTGTAGTCCCAGCATCCTGGGAGGCCGAGGCGGGAGGATCGCTCAAGGTCAGGAGTTCAAAACCAGCCTGATTCAAGAGCCAGACCCTGTCTCTACTAAAAAATAGAAAGAAATTAATTGGGCAACTAAAAATATATAGAAAAAAAAAATTAGCCGGGCATGGTGGCGCATGCCTGTAGTCCCAGCTACTCGGGAGGCTGAGGCAGGAGGATCGCTTGAGCCCAGGAGTTTGAGGTTGCTGTGAGCGAGGCTGACGCCACGACACTGTAGCCCAGGCAACGGAGTGAGACTCTGACTCAAAAAAAAAGAGGAAAGAAAGAAAGAAATACAGTATAACCCAAATATAGCTGGCCCAGTCTTAGCAAGGTGGTGTTTCTTTGAACATTCAACAATCCAAGATCCAAGAAATAAACATCCAAACAATTCAAGAAATCCAATGCTCAAGAAATAAACAAGAAGCCATTACTATAAGAAGTATCACAAAAACAGGAATGAGGGATGACATTCATAAAATACAGAAAAACATCTTAAAGTCATTTCTTTCCTCTCTCCCAGGTAGGATGGGCTGTCCTTGATTTCTTGGAGGGTGGGGGCTGGGCTGCCCTTGATGTGTTGGGGGCTGGGCATTGGGATGTACCTGATTTGCTGGGGCATGGGGTGGAGATGCATTTGGTTTGGTGGGGCTTGGAGGTTGATCTGCACTGGATTTGTCGGGAGTGGGGGTTGGGCCATGCTGGATTTGTTGGGGGCTTTGGGTTGGGATGCACTTGATTTGTTGGGGGTAGGGTTTGGCTGTACTTGTTTTTTTGGGTAGGAGTTGAGATGCACTTGATTTGTTGGGATAGGGATTGGGCTGCAGTCATTTTGTTGGGGGTGTGGGTTGGGCTTCACCGGATTTGTTGAGGGGTGGGAGCTGGGATGCTCTTGATTTGTTGGGGGGTACTCTGAGAAGGAGAGTTCTGAGGATGCAGGATAGGATAGGGAAGGTGTTAAAAAAAATGAGGTGTTCTCCTTCGGAGTCTAGCCTCTGCCTGATCCTACAGGGAGCTGGGGCTTGTGCACGATGGGGTTGGTCCCCCTTGAGGCAAGGCTTTTGTGCCTGGCTGGTGTGTCAGTCAATGGCTGGCTGTGGGCTGTCCCTGGGGGCGGGGTACATGCACAGTGATGGATGCATCGGGCCAGGGGCTCGGGCAAGAACACCATGAGCTTCCCCTGCATTGCTCAAGCTTTTCTCTGCATCGCGCTTATCTGCTACCTCAAACGTTGCCACACTGCCCGTGCACGTCACCTTCTCTTTAAGTTATTGAAAATAGCAAAAATCTTGCGTATAGCACAAAAAACAATTTCGCATGAAGCATATTGCATCATGGCATCATAAACATGGCAGTGACCAGCTTCCACGTGATTCTTTTGTTTCTAATGTTAATTTTTAATTCACAAGTAATAATTGTATGTACTTATGGGCTGCCATGAGATGTGGGGGTATATGTATACATGTGGAATGATTCTGCCAAGCTGATTAACATCCATTACCTCACATCCTTATGATTTTTTTTTTTTGTAGTGAGAACATTAAAAATCTATTTTTTTTCTAAGCAATGTTGAGCTATACATTGAAACTCTGGTCATTTTGCTATGCAATAGATCTTGAAAATGGATTCCTCCTGTCTAACTGGAACTTTGTACCTTTTGGTCCACATGATCCTTAATTCTTCATAGTCTCAAGGATTATCATGGCTCTGGGAGGTTATGACCCTTGGGGCACCTGGCACCAATGGCTGTCCAAGATTGAGGTACAAAGGAAACCAATTCTGTGGTTCCTCAAAGTGGAACTAATTCTACAGGGTTTCATAACTCCGGAGTTCTCTGTGAGATCAGACAGAAGCTTGATTACAGCCGAGCCCACAGCTTTGTTCAACTCCTTCCTGGGCTTTGTCATCATTCTTTCCTCACTTCCTGTCTATCAAGAGCACCCCCATTCCCCTCCCAGGGAACCTGACCTAACACAATCCCTCCCTTATTTGGTTATGCCACCAAAATAAAACAGGAAGAAAATAATTCAAGGTTTCTGACTCTTTCTGGTTTCATTCTGAGACAAGATTTAGAAATATGATACTTGGTTTATGGCAAGATCCAAGTAAGATCCTCTATTATCAATAGTATTTTATTGATGTTGGCGATCATAATGGTGGTTGAATCCCATATGGACCTAGATTCAGAGTGCTTAGTCCTTACATCACAGTCTCACCTTCATAAGATTAAGGAATAAGAAACTTGAAGCAGCTTCAAATGCTGGGCTTCTGAAGCAGGGTTGAGGTATAGATGAAAGGGTACGTTGAAGCCATTCCTTCAGAGTTATTAACTAGTTATTTTTCTTAAAAACGTAACCTTAAACCTATTATTATATTCTTATTACTCTTGAGCATTCAAGTCCAAAGATATTCATTAAGTCAACAAGCTAAATTTATTTCCAAGTGCATGAGAATGGGAGCCAAGAAGCCTGGACTTTGTATTTATCTTTCTTTTTTTTTTGAGACAGAGTCTCACTTGTTGCCCAGGCTAGAGTGAGTGCCGTGGCGTCAGCCTCGCTCACAGCAACCTCAGATCCCTGGGCTCAAGCAATCCTCCTGCCTCAGCCTCCAGAGTAGCTGGGACTACAGGCATGCACCACCATGCCCGGCTAATTTTATATATATATATTAGTTGGCCAATTAATTTCTTTCTATTTATAGTAGAGATGGGGTCTCGCTCTTGCTCAGGCTGGTTTCGAACTCCTGACCTCAAGGAATCCGCCCGCCTCGGCCTCCCAGAGTGCTAGGATTACAGGCGTGAGCCACCTTGCCCAGCCTGTATTTATCCTTCAATGCATTCGTCCACCATCCATCCATTCATCTATCCAACAAATGTTTAAGATATGTCTTCTCTGTGCTTGGCAATTTTATGTTGGGTTGATTCATTTGACTCAATCTTTATTTTCTCACATTTAAAATGGGTTACTCCTTGCCAACCCATTTATTCTTTCTCACCCCCAATTTCACTGAGATATAATTGACAAATAAAAATTGTACATATGGAAGGTGTACAACTTGATGTTTTGCTACACATATACCTTGTGAAATAATCACCACAAGCAAGCTAATTAACATGTCCTTTAGGGAGCCGTGGACCTCCACCAGACCGCCACCGGACAGAAATAGCAGAGACATCGAGGAATGTAATTACA